GTGGTGTGTTTTTGTTTGTGTGTGGGGGGGGTGGGGGGTGGCTGGTGTGTGTCTGTCCATTTTGGGGGGCTGGCGTGTGTCTGTCCCCCGGTTCCCAAGGAGGGGGCACAGGAGGATGCCCGGTGCGGGGTGGGTCCCCTCCTGCCCCCTGCCAGGGAGGGTGGACGCGGGAACAGGCTGCCCCTCGGTCCACCCTGGCCCCTCTCTCCCTGCTGAGGGTCTGCATGAGCCGCCTGCCCCTGCTCCCTCCGTCCCTGGGAGCCCGGGGGACCGCAGAGTGCAGGGAGGGACGGGGCATGCGCTGGCAGCGCTTCGAATGCTAACCCGGCCAGAGCAACTCTACTAACACGGCCGCTTACTTCTCTGTGCATCCGCCCTGCTCTTCCTGCAGCTCCCGAAACCTTCTCGTCTAGGGCACGGAGGCTGTGAGACCCCAGCGGGGTCCGTGGGATGCAATGCTGGGGTGACTGGGATGCCACGCTGGCATCCGACTCTCCCGGCATGCCCCTCGCCGCAGGGCTGAGGCCTGGGGATGGGTGGGAGAGCTCCCCGGAGAAGCAAAGAGCAGCGATTTAATTGCAGTGTTGGCCCACGGGTTGCCGTCTCGCTAATTAAAGGGCGTCGCAGGCTGCGCCAGGTTGTGGTGGGGGCTCCCGCTGGTCCCCAGCTCGTGGCCCTGCCCGATTTGTCGCCCGTCTCGAGAGAACTACTTCACGTGTCTCTTTTCTTTCAGAATGAAAAAGGCAAACGTTGACCTCACTATGAAACAATGCCAAGGTATCTTTAGAGCAAAACCAAACCAGACCACAAACCATTTGAAACCGCTGTCTCTGCATAATCCCAGGCATGCCTCCATAGTGGGGAAAGGGTCGAACGAGCGGCTGTGTATTTATAGATCCAGCCTTTCCTTCAGATGGCCAGGGCGAAAGCAATCACTCTTCATTTTCAGTCTCTCCAGTTTCGAAGGGTCTTAAGTTAAAAAATGAACCCTCCGTCCAAGTAATTCCCACCCTCTGGGAGATGGGTTTGCCGTGGAGTCTGCTTGCTTGCGGCTACATGCTTAACTGCTTCCTTTTGTGTCTGTAACTCCCTGGGCTGCTTCCCCCTCTGTGAATACTTTAACCTCCAAGCTGCTATTCCAGCTGCTTCCTGCCTCTGCATGCACGAAACCAAATGTGAAGTCAGCCCCAGCCCTGGTCGAGGAGGGAGACACGACAGAGGAATGTAGCCGAGCCACTTCCCCTGGCACCGATGCCCGAGGAACTCCGCCTTGGGTCTTTGGCCACCATAAAGACATCGTACCAAAAAAAAGAAAAAAATCCCCAACCCATTAATGGGGTGTGTAGGGCTGGAATTTAAATCCCTAATTACTTAGCAGGAAGTAGCTTTGTTGAAGGACTTTGAGTTGTCAGTTCTAGCAGCAAAGCAAAATACCAGCAGCGTTCAGGGCTATGCTTTGCTACAAATATTTTGCAGATTGGCGGCGCTAGCAAAGCCCTCTAGACCAGTGGGTCTCAACCTTTTTTGTACCAGCACCCATCTGCAAGTATCAATCGGTCTCAGCCCAATGCCCCTCAGTCCTGCCCTGCTGCCCCCAGCCCCTCAGTGTGGGGTGGGTTACGTGGGGCGTGAGGGGCCCCAAGCAGGCTGGGGCTCTGCCAGGTTGCAAGGGAAAAGCCACGGTTTCCCATGTTTTTCTCCGTTTTTGTTTGTGACCCTTTCCTATATTCTTGCAACCCACTTTTGGGCCACAACCCACCAGTTGAGAAACACTGCTGTAGCGGGCACGGGTCTCATAGCTTCGCAAGGAACCGAACAGAGCTCCCAAACGAGAGGAGCCGGACCGACGAAACCCGTCGGTTTATAAATTGCAGCAGAAGTGACACGCGTGCAGCCAAGGGGGTTGCTGGTGTGGCTGCATGTGTATGGCGTCCCCTTCCCCACCCCCACGCTGGACCTGGCCGTGCTGGCAAAACCGTGTAGCGTGGCTCCGCCTGCAAGCAATCTCTGAAAGGATGCTGTGAGCGCCCTCGCCCGCTCAAACATGGTCCATCTCGACAGATTACTGGGAGCTCAAGAGCTCCATCTAGCTGGCAGAAGCAGACAGGTTTTCAGCCACCCTCGTCCTCCACAGTCCTCGCCGCGGCAGAGATGCACGGCTGCAGTTTGTGGTGCTCTGTCTAAAACTTGTGGTCGCAGGCCCACCCGGCAGCAATGCTGTTGCATGACTGCTGGATGGTCCAACAGCCTTTCGACCGCTCCTAAGCCGATGTGAACCTCTCCGAGTTGGAAAGGTCGCTGCTTTACCCCCGGGAGCTCTGAGCAAGTCACTTCAAGAGGCCAAAAGCAAAGTAGCCTTGTTATATATTAGTTAGAAATCACGCTCTTACGCTCGCCGTAGAGGCCCTGCATTGCAGATTGCAGTCTGAACTCAGGCATCAGCTACCTGTTTGCCAGCTGCGTGGTGTAATTTATCTCTGCAGACAATCCCATGCACAACTTCAGAGGGCGCAGGTCGGTGTTTGCAAAGCAGGGAGGCTGGGCTCGTGCCCAGTTTGGAGACTGGTCCCACATTTAAGGTGCCGAGTTGCAAGCCATGAAGACGAAGACAGCGTGCCATCATTCGAGTCTAAGAATAGGGTTAAGCGGAAGAGCTGGAGCTTAGACTAGGCTCAAGTTTGCTTAGGAAGTGGTGGGTTGTCCTAAGTCACAACTCTCTGTTGCCCTGCAGGTTCCCCGCGGTGCCAGTCCCTACTGAAACCATGTGGGCCATCCAGTTGTTGGCCGTGGGTGTCCTCGTGGCCGCAGTGCCTTCGGAAGACAAGAAGTTGAGCGATAAGGCCAACGCCTTAGCGGATCGCAGTGCTGCCCTGGCCTTCAACCTCTACCACACGATGGCCAAAGACAAGAACATGGAGAACATCCTGGTGTCTCCTGTGGTGGTGGCCTCTTCCTTAGGCCTGGTGTCTCTTGGTGGCAAGGCTGCCACAGCCTCCCAAGCCAAGGCCTTCCTCAGCGCCGACAAATTGAACGACGACTACGTGCACAGCGGGCTGTCCGAGCTTCTGAACGAGGTCAGCAACAGCACGGCCCGCAACGTGACCTGGAAGATTGGGAACCGCCTGTACGGCCCCAGCTCCATCAGCTTCGCTGACGACTTTGTGAAGAACAGCAAGAAGCATTACAACTACGAGCACTCGAAGATCAACTTCCGGGACAAGAGGAGTGCCCTGAAGTCCATCAATGAGTGGGCCTCCCAGACCACCAACGGGAAGCTCCCTGAGGTCACCAAGGATGTGGAGAAGACTGATGGAGCCCTGATTGTCAATGCCATGTTCTTCAAGCGTAAGTCAAGTGCCCAGGGGTCCCTCGGTTCTTGAGACAAGTGATCATGATCGAGCTAGCTAGGCATGATGTTTGCTCGAGCCCACAATATACTTCAACTTCTCAAGGTAGTCAACAAGCGACTCTGAGGGCTTGGTTCAGCCCGCGGGTGGGTGGAATTGCACTAGGATAAAGGAGACGAGCGTGTAGCTCAAAATTCAATAGAATACAAAAGGACTTTATGTACCGGGGTCTTTCCTCCCGAGTGAAATGCCCCGGTGTAGAACAAAGGAGCCATTGTGGGATAGCAGCAGCAACATGGAAGAGAGCCTGACCTTTAGGAGGGGGGAAGTAAATTGCTTTCTCCAGCTTATAGTCCCGGTCTAGCCTCTGCTCAAGTTTTAAAAGCAATAGCAAAAATGGCACTTCTTGTAAAGCAAAAGCATCTTCAAGTGCACGGTCCCAGAGGATGCCACATGTGACATAGCCAGATCCGGGGCTTGTCAGCAGTGGGTTCGTTGAGCTGTTGGACTTAGGGTTGTGCGCTCCTATTCTGTAATCGCTGATCTTTCTCCTGCTTCCTTAGCTCACTGGGACGAGAGGTTCCATCACACGATGGTGGACAACCGTGGCTTCATGGTGACCCGTTCCTTCACCGTGGGTGTTCCCATGATGCACCGCACAGGTAAGTTTTTTGAGCTTCCCCCCAAGATCCCCATTGCTTTTTTTTGCTCTTGATTAAAACACATTCGTGGAAGCAGATGTAGATACGGACGCTTGTCCATTAGGAACAGATGCCATAACCATCAGAAAGGGCTATCACTCAAGTAACCCTGGTTGCATGAGGCCAAATGGATAGAAAGTTTGCAGATGGTCTTTCACCGGGGGAAAAGGGACAGTGAAAGTGTGCCTGAGCCTAGGGGGCCCATCCTGCCTAAAGCATGCCAGCATCCACAGCGAGTGTCGCGCAAGCAAGAGGTGTGCATTGCCCCCCGCTACGTCTGATGCAGCAGGTGCCTGCTGACAGCTGGGGAAACTGGGAACTGTCTTCAGCACAGATTTAGAGCAAGCCTCAAGCTTGCTTCTCTGGAGTCATGGCAGGGGGGCTCAACCACTGGGCCGTTGCACCATTGGCATGAGAAACTTTAGGCGGCTTTGCTTGTTTCCCGCGTCTCATTGTCCCACCTGGGTTTCTCTTCTGAAGGTCTCTACAACTACTTCGATGACGAAACTGAGAAGCTTCAGATTGTAGAGATGCCGCTTGCTCACAAGCTCTCCAGCATGATCTTCATCATGCCAAACCACGTAGAGCCTCTGGAGAGAGTTGAGAAGTTGCTGACCAGAGAGCAGCTGAAAACGTGGATCAGCAAGCTGAAGAAGAGATCAGTGGCCATTTCCCTGCCAAAAGTCAGCCTGGAAGTTAGCCACGATCTTCAGGTAAGCTGTCTCCTGGAGCCAAAAAACTAGCCTGGTTGTTTAGGATGGTTCCTGGGACTTTCCTCTGTGCTTTGATTTGTGATGACAGGCCATGATGTGCTTATGGGATCATAGGAAAGGAGTCTCACATAGTCATCTAGCCCAGACTCCTGCTCAAAGTGGGATCGTCCCTGACTCCATCTTACCCAAGTGTCTATCCAACCTGCTCTTGGAAACTTCCAAGCATGGAGACCCCACAGCTTCTGGAGACAGCCTGTTTCCATGATTGACCACCCTCAGAGTCAGAAAGTTCCTTCTAATCTTAAGCCGAAATTTCCTCTGCTGCAGTTGGAGGCCATTGAGGCCACGTTACGTGCAAGGAGAGGCGCCTGCCAGTCTGAGTTGATGCTTGCAAGGTTATAAGAGGCTAGCACGGTGAGGAAGGAAACCTTTGATTGCTTCCTTGGGTGCTTCCCCAGCTGTTTCCCAAATAGACATCTCTTAGGATGGTAGGCTTCATGGCAGGACAGCTGTCATGGACGTGCTTGGAACGTGCAGCCCTAAGCAGAGCCACGCTGAGTCTTTAGCTGGTCTCCAAATGAGGAGTTCCCTGCTCTAACTACTTAGGAGTTAAGACAATCACAAAGCTGGGGGTTTTTACAAGCAAGCTTGCTTGGTATAAGGGATCTATTTTATTAATTACATACAAGAGTAATTCAGTAGGACCACGATTTAGTACTTCTGTTCAAGCTGCTGCCCATATCTATAAGCAGGGCTCTGAGGCTGCACATGGTATCAGCTCATTCACAAAACTCTTCCTCCAACTCCTCCACTCATTGCAGGATCCAAGTTATATTTGCCCACACTGGAGCCACACCATGCTGTTACCACCACCTTGGATTCATAGATTCATAGAAGAAGGGTCGGAGGAGACCTGAGCAGATTATCTAGTCCCCCAGCCCTGGGCAGGGCTTTTATGACTAAGTT